TTTGCAGCCTTAGCCGCGTGGGCACAGATCCGGGCTGAGCGGCTGGAAAGGAAACCGGGTCAGGCTGGGGGGGAGCGGACGCCAGGAGGCCTCCTGCCGCCGGCCCCTCAGCAGGTGCACCCGCAGGGACGTGGGCCCCAAAGCCATGGGGTGCCCCTTCCCCAGGGCAGCCCTGTGGTCTGTGTCCTGGGAACGGGTGAGAGGTAGCACATCCCTGCGGTGAGTGAGTCCCTGACACAGCCTGAGGGGAGAGAGGCCCGGAGGAGGGCCCACCCCCCTGGAGCAAGGTCCCCCCAACCCTCCAGGAGCAAGACCCAACCCCCGGGAGCAAGACCCACCCCCCGGGACCAGGAGGCAGGGGAAGGGGTCATCCTGGTGGAGCTGATGCCGGAGGACAGGTTTCCAAAATGCCACACAGAAGCCGTGCAGCTCCTTCAAACCCAGGGGAGCACCTTTTCCGGAAGTTCTCAGCTTCCCCAGGAAGGCGGGGTCCCGGGAAGGTGGGGTCCCCAGGAAGGCGGGGTCCCCGGGAAGGCGGGTGCCCGGGAGGGCAGCCTTGGGGAGGCGCTGAGGGCATCAGAACCAGTTTAACCCCCACCGGCAGCGGTCCCACCTGCATTAAGGGGGCGGCTCTGGCCTGGGCGGCCACGGGGGACCAGAACCCAGTTCCCGCGCTTTCTGTGAACACGCCAGGCGCACGGGGCAGAGATGGCTGGGATCCGGGGCAGCTGCTCAGGAAACGAAAAGGAGACATGTGCCTTCGCGCCCAGAGAGAGGGGCCAGAGCAGGGCCCTCGGCAGGCAGGGGCCCCCGGGGAGGAGATACCGGAGCCGCTAATCAGCGACAAAATAGGGAGAGTTACGATTTAATTAAAGATATTCAGCATGGGTTCACAAAAGGGAGATCACACGTAACCGAACTAATAGAATATTTTGAAAAAGTCACAAAAAGGAATTGAAGAGGGAAACCAAGGGTATAATTTACTGGGACTTGGCGAAGGCGCTGGCCCACAGGGGCTCTGGGTGGGGGTTTGGGGTGCGCGTGGGGGGACGGGAGCCGTCTGCACGGAGCTCGGGGAACCCCGCCACCGAGGGACCAGGCCTCCACTGGGAGCTCCTCGGTCGGAATATTTTTAAATCAGTTTTTAAAACAGCCACACGGCCAGGCAATACCGCGCACGTTTCACAGGCCACACTCAGGGTGAGAAGTTGCCAAATGAAGGCAGTAACTTTCCAAGTCCAGTGGCTGTTGGTGGCTCTCAGCGGCCGGGCTGTGGTGACACACGTGGCTTGGCAGGCGAAAAGGGGCCCCGGCCCCTGTCGGGGTCTCCAGGACCCTGAGAAGTGAGCGTGCGGCCCACTGCAAACTCCGATTCATTCACGCGAAGCTGGTCTCATTACGAAGTCAGACCCGTCATTACAGCCGCCATCGGGGCCCCGACTGAAGGCGTGACTTTGGCGCCACGCTGCCTTTCCGACGCCCCCTCCGGGGCTTTGTGGTGGCGACAGGAGAGGGTACAGGGGCACCTGACGCCAAGGCCACTGGGAACCCCGGCCCCCGTGGGTCCCCCGGGAACGGGGCATCAGCCACCGCGGCCCGCTGTCCCCTCATGTGCCTGGCAGACCCAGTCCCGAACTCCTGACCTGCTGCTGGGGGTCTCGCGGGAGGTGCCTTCCCCCCAACCTGCCTCAGCCCAGACAAGCCCATGCACCGTCCCCCCAAACCCGCCCGAACACTCGCAGCCCCACCCCCCTTTCCGGTGAGATCGCCTCCCAGTGCACCGGCAAGAGCGAGTCTACAGAAACAGCACCTCCACCCGCTCCCTTTGTGAGCACGACGGAGCTGAGCACGGCGTCCGCGAGGCCGATGCATCGCAAACAAACTTCCTGATTCGTAGTCCCCACGGGGTTCCCACCGGATAGTCTGTCTAAACTAGACTGACCTGCCCGGCCGGCAGGGCTCAGGGGTGGAGCGTCGACCCACGACCCAGGAGGTCACGGTTCAGTTCCCGGTCAGCACAGGCCCGGGTTGCAGGCTCCATCCCTGGTCGGGGGTGTGCAGGAGGCAGCCGATCCACGATTCTCTCTCATTGATGCTTCTATCTCTCTCCCTCTCCCTGCCTCTCTGACATCAATAAGAATATATTTTAAAAAATACAACAACCAGGACTGCGCTCACGGGGCATCGGAGACGAGATTCGGGGCCAGACTTCAGGTGGACGGGGCCCGGCAGCCCGTG